GTCACGCACTTCCTGGTCACAAAATATTGTGTAAATGCACATATTATGGCAAAAATTATTCATCATTAAATCTGGTTCATTTTGAAGTCCGTGCTGTCCAATCCAGCTTACTGTTTTTTACAGAAACCCTGTGAAAGCATCACAGCTTTGCCGATCTCAGAGTGTTAAAAGAAAAAAAAAATTCCCGTGTCCGCATCGTGATCCGAAACATCACCGAAATTTAAGGGTGTGTTCTTGGCCCAGTACCCACATGTGGTAAAAATGTCATGACGATCCGTCCACAAGTTTTTGAGTAATGTTGTCCACAGACAGAACAACAGACAGATACGCGACCGAAAACATTACCTCACCCTTGGCGGAGGTAAATGTCCAAAGGTGTTAGTGGGAACATGTCTGATTGTGTCAGGGTTGTACCTGGCCTCTCACACGATCACTGCTGGAGACGTGCACCACTACATCCCTGAACAGGATGAACTGGGTGTAGGAAATGGATGAACAGAAGGATAAGGAAGCTCTTAGACAATTTAATAAATGGAATGTTTTAATAAACCTAATTTAAATATGTTCAGTCTAAAGGGGAAACAAGTGAAGTTAGTAATATCTTATTTGTAACTTAAAAAGCAATTTGTGTTTTCCCCTCGTTTTCACTTTGTCAATTAAATCCTCATTTCTTACGAGTCCTCACCGCTTGATCTCCTGACTTCCTGTTAGACCTGGTACACATTTCTTCTTGTTGCAGAAAATGGAAACATGTTTGATATGTTGCAACTTGAAACCTAACTAACCTATTTGTATGTGAGTAAGATGATGCAAGATACAAAAAAAAAAAAAACCTTTGAGTCTTGTTGATCAAGCCGGGGAAATACCTCAAACCCGGATGTTATTCTGATTTTTAACCTGTGTTTTAATAATTTTACACTGTTTGTATAATTCAGGGAGTCTGGCCTTTTATTTCTGTAACAAAGGACCCCAAATTTATATTTGCTTCTTTGTTAATAAAATCCTTTTTCAATAAATAATGACTTATGCTTCAAGAAGGAAAATGATAAATTTTAAGTTGTTACACATCTTTTAGTTAAGTGTCACCAAAATCTTGCAAATTTTCAATCAAATTTGCTCTCTCTTTTTTGCTAACAYAATCTAAATTTCAAATTGTGTTACCTCGGCAGGATGCTGTGGAGAACAAACTGGACACCAAGGAATGGCCTCATCAGTCAGAGTGTCCTACYGCCTGGAATGGCTCTGGAGCTGTCAGGTCATTTCTCTTTAAGTCTTCATGCAAGAACTGCATAAACAACTTCAATTCATCAAGGCTTTTTGTTCAGATTTACATCATTTAACATGACCGGCTCAGATGATCAAGTTTGGAATATTTAGTTATTTCATCTTGTAAATGTAAAAGTAAAGCAGCACAGAACATATGGGATAAATCTTGTGCCAGCAGGAATTGAATGTGAATTGCTCAGATTGAATCTGAATGTGCATAATTTGAAATTGAATTCATTTGTTTGAAAATTAATTTAGCTAAATTGAAATAGAATTTTAAGGTTTTTTTATCTGAATTAATTTGCTTTGAAACCGTGTTTTGGTTTATTAAAAATTCAGTTTGACTACTTTCACTTTCGTATCCTGATGCATCTCAGTAAACCAGGTAGAAAAAAACCAAAAAGTAAAAATAAGTAGGTCCTCTGGACGGGTTCTTCTTTAGTGAAACATTTCATC